AGCTGGAACCAACTTCCTAGGGAGGTGGTGCTGGCTCCTACCCTGGGGATCTTTAAGAAGAGGCTTGATGACTACCTGGCTGGACTCATTTGAGTCCAGTCTTTTCTCCTGCCCAGGCGGGGGGTTGGACTTGAAGATCTACAAGGTCCCTTCTGACCCTACTTCTATGATTCTATGACTTTAGGAAAGCTGACTTTCATAAGCTCAGGAGGTTTGTTGTCAAGGCCCTGAAAGATCATGATCTGATAGGGAAGGAAGTCCAAGACAAGTGGTCACTCCTTAAGGATGTGATCCTGAAAGCACAAGAGAAATCCATTCCAGCCCATAGGAAAGATGGTAAAAGGGCTGGTAGGGCCCTTTGGCTCAGTAAGGTACTCATGGACTTCCTGAATTTTAAAACAGAAGCCTATAAGGGTTGGAAGATGGGAAATACCTCTAAGGAGGATTATGCAGCACTGGCCTGCACCTATAGAGAATGGACCAGAAAAGCCAAGGCCGAAACCAAGCTCAAACTGGCTATGGGAATAAATGACAATGAAAAGTCCTTCAGATACATGGGAAGTCGAAACAGAAACAAGGGCAACGTTGGATCCCTGCTGAACCAAATGGGGCAGCTGACATCTGACACCCAGGAAAACGCTAATCTTTTTAATGATTACTTTGCATCGGTTTTTCACCAGCCCAAAGGGATCACCCTGCCTGACAGGACGCAGAATTACGAAGATACAGGTGACCACACACCTACATTTGGCAATGACCTTGTGAGGGAACACAATGAGAGGCTGGACATCCATAAGTCAGGGTGATGAAATGCATCCAAGACTGCTAAAAGGGTTGGCTGACACCATAGTATGACCAATGGTGAGGATATTTGAGAACTCATTGCGCTTGGGAGAGGTTCCTGATGATTGGAAGAGGGTCAATATGGTGCCTATCTTGAAGGAAGGAAGGAAGGAAGATCTAGGGAAGTACAGTACAATCAGTTTGACTTCAATCCCTGGAAAGATCATGGAAAAAATTATTAAAGAATCCATCAACAACAGCTAATGGAAAGTGCCATTCTGAGAGACAGCTAACATGGCTTCATTAGGGTGGGTCGTGCCTGACCAACTTCACCTTCTTCTATGATGAGGTGACGTCACCTGGACAGAGGAGGAGAGGCTGATGTCATTTACTTGAATTTCAGAAAAGCCTTTGATCTGGTCTCCCACGATGTCCTCATGACAAAATTGGGGAACTGCAGCCTCAACAACCTTATGGTCCAATGGCTGGGGAACTGGCGCTGTGGTCGGACCCAGAAAGTAATAGTCAGAGCCGTCCCTTGGAGAGGGAGAATTGGGGTGATTGCCCCGGGTCGTGCACTTTGGCGGGCCCTGTGGACAGTGCTGTACAGGCCCTGCCGTATACTATCAGCTCCACGTTCCAGCTGCTCACCACTCCCCGCCCCAGGCCCCACACAGCCTGATATGCCTCGGGCCTTGCACACCCCTAGGGTTGGCTCTAGTGATAGTTGATGGAACCAAGTCAACATGGTGCATGGTGACCAGTGACATCTCTCAGGGTTCAATACTCAGACCAGTACTCTTTAACATATTCATAAGCTACCTGGATTCCTATGTCAGAAGCAGCCTGGCTAAGTTTGCAGATTGCACTTCCCCATAATTTGGTGTCATCACACTAGAGGATAGGCTGGGGACTCAGGCTGACTTGGACAGGCTTGCAAAGTGAGTGGATCAAAACCTGATGCTTTTCAACAGAGAGAAATGCAAGGTGCTCCACCTTGGAAGAAAGAACCCACATCTGTGTGACATTGGTCAGGCCGCAGTTGGAGTACTGGATGCAGTTTTGGGCGCCGCACTTCAGGAGGGATGTAGACAGCATCGAGAGGGACCAGAGGAGGGCCACTCACATGATTAGGGGGCAGCAGGTTAGGCCCTACGAGGAGAGGCTACGGGCCCTGAACCTGTTCAGCCTCCACAAGAGAAGTCTGGGGGGATCTGGTAACCGTCTACAAACTTGCCAACGGGGACCAGCAGGCTATGGGAGAGTCCCTGTTCCCTTCAGCACTACCAGGAGTAACAAGGAATAATGGCCATGAGTTGACTGAAAGTAGAGTCAGGCTAGACATCAGGAGGCACTGCTTCACAGTCAGGGCAGCTAGGAGCTGGAACCAACATCTAAGGGAAGTGGTGCTCACTCTTACCCTGGGGGGGTGCTTTAAAAGGAGGCTAGATAATCACCTAGCTGGGGTCGTTTGACCCCAGCATTCTTTTCTGCCCATGGCAGGAGGTCAGACTTGATGATCTGCTTAGGTCCCTTCCGACCCTACCAACTATGAAACTACTTATAGGCTCGGCAGAACTATGCTTACTAGCACTACGACTGAAAGACTAGGGGATCATGGTTGACCACAAGATGAATATAAGCCACCAATCTGATGCCTCAGGTGGCAAGTAAATAAAACCCTGGCTTGCATCTACCAATGCATCTCAAACGAGACCCAAGTTATCATCCTCCTGCTTTATTCAGCCTTGGTGAGACTGCAGCTAGAGTATTGCGTCCAGTTCTGGGCTCCACACTTTAGAAAGGATGTGGAGAAGCTTGAGAGAGTCCAGAGGAGAGCCATGCGCATGATCAGAGGTCAAGAGAGCAGGCCTTATGAGGAGAGGATGAAAGGCATGGGACTCTTTAGCTTGGAAAAGCATAGGTTAAGGGTGACTTGGTGGTAGATTATAACAGGGGTTGTCAACTGGAGCTACTTCAGAAGGCCCTAGGGCGGTATGTGTGGGTGGGTGGGGACGCAGTGCCACCACGCACTATCCCGTGCAGGTGCTGCCCGTGTGGCTAAACGCAGTGGGGGGGGGAAGCTCGCATGTGGTGGCTGCTGCCACTCTGCATTTGGCTGCACACCACCCCCCAGCTCCTGCTCTGCACTCCAGCTGCCAGGGTACGCTGCTCTGCGTCTTGCTGCCAGGGGTATACTGATCCAAAAAGGTTGAAATCCCTTGGCCTGTAAGTATATGAGGGATGTGCATCAGGATCTGGGAGAACATCTGTTCACCAGGGCACCCCAAGGGAAGACAAGGTCCAAAGGTCACAAACTGCTGAAAGAGCATTTTAGATTGGATATAAGGAAAAACTTCTTTACTTTCCAAGTCTCCCAAGCATGGAGTAGATGCTCCCTGGAAGTGGTGCAAGCACCTACTCTGGACACGTTCAAGAAGCATCTGGATGATTATCTTTCTGGGGTCATCTAACCCCAGCAGTCTTTCCTGCCCTTTGGGCTTGGGGCTGGACCCAATGATTTCAGTAGGTCCCTTTCAGCCCTAATGTCTATGAAATCTATGAAGTTTAGATGAGAATGAAAGACTGAATTTTTGCCGAAATACTGAATTTTTGGTGTACCCACTTGTTACATCATACAGTGCATTGACATGGAGAAAATAACTGATAGTAAGTTAAGGTAATTAATTGTTAAGGCACCAAGGAAAATGTAATTACTGTTAGTCCATCAAAAATGGGTAGACTTCTGCTCTTTAAATGGCAGTTGTACCCTTTTCTTTAATCTTGTTTTCCAAAAGCCTGAAATCTGTGGTGAACATTTTAAAAGATCATATGTTAATGATCTTATGTTACAACAGCAACAGATAGATGATAAGAATGTGTCTTGACTGTTTTTTAACGTCTGGAGTAATGTTTAGAAGTGGCAACCTATTTAGAAATGAAATTCTGTTCAAATGAAGTTTGTAGCTGTTTAAGAAAAGAAGCATGGATAATGGAGGGAGGAGACAGGATACTTTTGATTGTTTTAATAGATATGTGTCAAATTAACATCTGAAGTCTTATTTTTCTTTACTTCTGAGTGAAAGACTCAGGTTAACAAAAAGTGGGGAATGATCATATCCAATTTGTTTACCAACCAGGCCTTCTGTTAAAGTCAATGGGAGCTGCATGTACTTAACACCTTCAAAATAAGGCCACAGGTAAACAAAATGAAAATAATGAGAAATATTTTTTCCTTTTGGTTGCTCTCAGTGGTAATCGGTGTGGCTATTACCTGTAAAAACCGGTGATATTTTTTCAGGGAGGGTTCTGGTGTAAAAAATCTTAAGACCTGCTGCTTCAGATTACTCATTTAGGTACCAGGTTAATAATGTTACCATTAATAAAGTTGCCAAACCATCTTAGAATAGATTTGAAGAAAACAATTTAGAATGCTAATGATCAGATAATCAAGTGGTAAAAAGTGGTGTAACTTCACTACTTTTGATGAAGGTAGGGATGAAATATAGTTTGGTTACAAGGTGTTAATCATTCCGATAAAGGTCAAACATTTTTCATAAAATTTACAGGTCTCAGACAAGATTATGCTTCTACTTCAGCCTCTGTGTCAAGACACAGTTCAAGTCTATCTCTACATTCAGGAAAGAAAGGGACATGCAGTGATCAGGAGTATGATCGCTACAGTCTTGAGGACGAAGAAGAGTTTGACCACTTGCCCCCTCCACAGCCTCGACTTACTCGTTGTTCACCATTCCAAAGAGGAATTCCACACTCACAGACTTTTTCTAGTATTCGGGAGTGCAGAAGAAGCCCCACTTCACAGCATTTCCCTTCAAATAATTATCAGCAGCAGTACTATTCTCCTCAAGCCCAAACGCCAGAGCAGCAACCAAATAGGATGAATGGAGGTAGGTTGCATGTTTTTCTGATTAGGTTTTTTTTTAATTTTCCCTCTCATCACAATATTAGCAATGCCATTTTGAGAATCAGATTAAGTAAACCAGTGAAGTGGTTCCAGATGATGGCAGTTAAATCATCTAGCAAATTGTTGTGGTACAGTGTTAGATTTTTATGGGACAGCACTTTTAAAATCTTTTAATACAGTCATTTCAGGTAGGTGACTGTTAAATGGCAAGTTATCCTTGAAATGGTCATGATTTGTTGCTTACAGCAGTTTTAAATACTTCAATTAAAAGCATAAGTAAAGAGAGAGGGGGAGACCTTTGTGTTCTGGCCTTGACTTCTTCCCATCCCTCCCTTTCTTTACCTTCTGTCTCTGGTCATTATGTAGATGCACTCTTTCTGACAGTATGACCTGAATGGTGATTTGCGTTGCCCTTAAGTGTGTGGGACTCTACTGTCACACTGAGTTTCAGGTATGATGGTGAGTATTGACAATGGGTGGACAGGTGGTGTACGTCATTCCCAAACTGCTGACAGCCACCACTGTTGTTTGCACCATATGTAGCATTAATGTCTTCCTGAATCTCTTGGGTTTGGGTGTTGTGGTGTCAAGTTTTGAAAACACGGTGTTGTTTCTGTGTTCTCTCCCTCCCTCCTTTATGATGGTGGTTTTCTTGCCTCCCACACGACCTCTGCCTTTGGATAACCACCATCCTGTTTCCAGTCAGGTTATTATCTTGCCTCAAGCAGAGGAATAGTCATTGTGTTAAAAAAAATTATGTATGGATAGAATGCCATGGATATGGCACTTTCTTGACACAGGATCCACGACAGGTCTCTGCCAAAGGCAGTTATAAGCTGTTAGACATGGCATAAGAGGGATAACAGGCAAGTGGGGGGTATGTAAGGAAGGGTGGGATTACAACAGTGAAAGATGTTACAGTCACTTGTCTGTGCCACATATGCATCCAATTCATTTCAATTTTATTTTTGTTTGTGACAGTCAGGGTGGTGGTACAGGAATAAGGGTAGCACTGAAAGGCTTACAGAAGAGGCTGGTTTGAGGATGGAGTGGAAGAGTGTGCAAAATCCATGAATACACATGTGGATAACGTGAAGTTATATCCAGTGAATCTGTACAGTCCCCACATTCTTGGTATTTTTCTTGTCATGTTTTTTGACAAGGCTTTATATGTCATTTTATACGTCACTCACTCCTAATAAGAGAGCGTGCATAATTCCTCTATGCTTTCCAACGAATAAGTGAAAGATAGCTTGACTGACACAAGTGCTACTGCACGATTAGTCATTTTCTCCACGAGCACTGAGGTGATGCATAGCTTGTTGCATGTCATTCTTCTAACAAGTTACAGCTTTAGTCAGCTGTAGGATGCTTGAATGTCTTGTGGATCTGTAGCAGTCTGTGTGGAGGGGAATTCCACCTTCTTTTCTTGCTCCTTCAGCCTTTGACTTGGGCAGTAAGTACATTCACATAAACCTCTCCCATGTAAGGACAGAGTGTCACACTGCTGCTAGTGAACAGCTCTGCCTTCCCTCTTCCAAAGCAGAATTGTGCTTGGGCACATACAATAGGGTCTGAACATTAGTTTGCTTGTCTGTTAGCTGACCTCACTAGCAAAGGAACACAATAGTGCAGTTTCCACGATTTGGGACTGGTGTCTGATTAATATTTATCAGGAATACCTTTGGCTTGGCATTCACAATAAAGGTGCTGGAGGTGCTGTCAGGTGTTGGAAGTCCTCGCTTTGATGGTTGATTAGGTATTGATGTTACATGCAATTTGTTACTCAGCAAGAGGACTTTGGAGTCAGTGATTGTGTTTAGCCTCAAGTCAAGTGTTTGATCAAGAAGTGACTGAGCCTGTAGATGGATTTTTTGGATTTTTAGCTTTTGCTAGAGAGGACATATGAGCAAAGCTGCTGCTGTCCATGTTCGAAGATGGGATTTTTTTAAAGAAGAATATAGTGCCCAGACTCAACTTCCTGTTCTAACTTCAGATCTGAGTTGCATGCACAGGTCTGCCAAATAATAAGATGATGAAAATGCTATAAACTGAGAAATATCATCTTATTTTATATGACCATGGAAGAGGCCTCCCATTGAGTATTTGGTTAGGATGCATTACTTACTGTGGAGTTAGATAAAAAGGAACTGTTAAACTAAGAAAGGGCAAAGTTGTGGCTGAGATAAAGGACATTCCAGCAAGCATTCAAACACGAAAGGCAGGTTTATAGCTGTGAAGAGGTAATTCTTTGGCTGCAGTTCTGATGACATAGTTGTTTTGTCAAAGCTGAGAGGAGAGATCAAAGGGCAGTTTATATCTTACAGATACAACAGAGACAGGAAACAGCGGTTTTATGAGTAGGTCAGGATGCTTTTACCTGCCAAGAATGGAGTTAGCTGGGCGGAGGAAGACTTTCAGTGGTGTAAACCATACCCATGCTTGAAGGCCTTTTATGTATGCTTTATTATAAATGCTTTGAACCCTTGATCTGAAAGCTTGCAAAGAAGAATTTCCCAACTATTTGATTTGATCTAATAAAAGATATCAGACTCACCCAAAGAACCTTGTCTGTCTGTGTCCTTAGACCAACTTGGCTACAACCTATACCCTTGAACCCTTGATAAATTCATAAATATTTCTGCATTTTAAAGGTGTTGGGTCTGTGCCATTGAAGGCATATATTCTGTCAGTGTCTCTCAAAGGGGAACATACACAGATGTCAAAGTTGTATCTGTTGTTAACATAGCTGGGATCCAGAGATTTGCAGGGCATAAGACTAGTGCGAGAGTGGTTGGCCAGTAGGGTTCCATCTCAGGTGAGATGCAGGAAGTTGTTTGTCTAGTGCACTCAAGATGGACTTAGAGGGCTGACGGCACAGTTCACCAGGTAACTATTACAGAAGACATTGACATATAAACCCCCTCTGCACATTACACTTAAGGTATGATTAACCATGTAATCACACCTTAAGTTGTAACACAGCTACACGTTCAGCCAATTCATGGAATGATAAAACAAGCAATAAGCCACAAAGTTATTCCGCAAAAAATGCAGAATTATTTTGTAGCTTTTCTAATTATGCCATTAATTGAGTGTGTGGCCAAGTGGTCCCCAGTTACTGGGAGTCCCATCAACTGAGGGGCTCCAAATCACAGGGGAGCACCACCCACTGCCAGCCCCATAGCTGAGAAGGCTGGCAGTAGTGACATTTGTCAGCTGCAGCTGCGGGGCTTGCAGTGGGAAGAATGCTGTTCCCTCTCTGAGCCTCATAGGGTGCGGGTTACATAGCTGGGACAGTGCCTGCCAGCAATGCTGCTGTCCCTGTGAGCCTTGTTGGCTGTCAGTCTCTCACAGCAGTGTTAATGGCTTTGGGGCTTGCAGTGGGAGTACCGGGGAAAACGCTGCCAGTACTGCAAGCCTCATCAGGTGCAGGGTTTGCAGCAGTGGCAGTGTTCCCAGCACTGCCCCTGCTGTGAAGCGTGCAGCGTATGTCAACAGTGGGACTCACAGTCGTGGGAGCTAATGCAGGGGGAGCCCAGGATTGTGATCCCAGGCTTCCCCTGCACTGGTGATAAGCAGGAATCTTGGTTTTCCATGGAAAAATGTGGATTTTGGGTTACTATTTTTAATCCGAAAACTGAGGATTTTTTTCAATAGGAGAAAACCAGGATCCCCCGTGATAAGGCGTGATAGGATCTAATGCGCAATTCTGGTCGCACCTCCTGCCTCATAGCAGGAGGCAGGATTGTGTGGATTGTGCATTAGAACCCATTGCACCTCTACTTGCACATGTTGTAATGTAATGTAACCTGTTGTAATATTTGCCAGTGCACACAAAGGAACACAAGACTTACATTCCTTTTTACACAAATACAGTGATTGTGCGTATGCTTCGGCCTTCAAATCTTAGGAGGAAAACTGAACTAAGTGTGTGAGCCCATCCGTAAGTGCAGCTTGGCTGTACTTGAACATATGTGGGTGGGTTCAGTCAGCTGGGGACCCAAAAAATCTACTGTGACCTCGGGAGCATTACTTCACAGGGCAACCCCATTTGTGTCTGAAAATAAAACTGCTTCCAATTTTAATGAAAGATTCACAGGAAGAAACATTTTGCGTGAAGTCAGTCTTTTCTTTTTTTCCCAAATCAATTGAATTTGTTTTGTCTTTGGGTTTCATGGTGAAAGTTACAGCTGTGAGTGCTTCTGAGGAATTTTCAATTATCAGAGGACAGAGCAGTTTCACTGAAATGTTCTGAGCCAGTAACTGGGTGACCTTGGCGGTGGTGGAGGAAGCAAATACTTTCCACATGTATTTTAATTAGAAAAAAACAAACAGGGCTATTTACTACGTGTTTGTACCATATGGTAAATGCTGTAGCAGTGCTTTCTATATGTAGACAGGTGGAACGATTGTGTCTAATCCAACTGATTTGCAGATAACTAGCCATTTAATCTGGCTTCCTGCAGCAAATCTGTATTTCTTGAGAGTGTTTTTATTTGAGTAATGAAGGCTAGGCATGTGGATAAGCTTATTATATACAACAGACTTGGTAATATACCTCATTTGTGATTGGAATACTTTACATTTGATCATCGTTATGTATTATAATAGGCATTTACATCCTTATACTTTTAAAAGAGCAAATGATGTGCAGATCATATTGTCTAAATACATATAACTTGCTTTGCTGCGACACCCAAGGCGGTCTGTTTCTCTTTGTCTTCTCTCTCTCTTTCTCTCATGATAGTTTTGTGAGTGGTTTGTGTTGGTGTATTCTTTTTGGACTGTTTTAATTGTTATGTCTTTCATCACTTCTTGCTTTTCTCTGAGACTAGTGACACTATTGAAGTGCTGTAAAAAAGACTGTTTCCATGGTGTAGCCAGGCAAAACCCAGGACATGCAGGAAATCTAAAGAAATGTTCTGAGATTTTGGCGCAGTTTCCTCATCAAGTTTTAGATAGGCTTACAAGCATTCACCA